CTTTTAAAAAATATAATTCTCATACATGAACAAACAAAATATAGTTAAAGTGGAATATATGAATGATGAAAAAATTCCATGTTGCAACTATAAGAAACAGAGAATAGTACGAAGTATATCACAATGACTATAAAAGTGTACTCGTAGCAAATTTAGTGACTTTTTTGTCCACGAATAATTATTTGAGACGTTCTCCTTATAGTCACTAAAAATTATTAGGTCATATTTTTTATCCATTATCTTTATTTTGTTCATATAGTAAAATTTATTTATTTATTTCGGAATAATCCTTATCGAGGATGGAAAAGAAGGTTGTTTAAAATATATTCAGATTTTTTTAGAATTTTATATATGCAATATTGGTATCATATAAAAGATCGTAAACAAATATGAGTTTTGGAGAAATTAACTTGGAAGGTCACTTTACTTCCTACTAAGTTTCAATTTGGTCACATTACTTTAATTTGTATTATTTTGATCACTTAAGTCCAACTTTAGTTGCAGATCACTATATCCGGCGTATTAAGGCTTCGTTTGGATTTCGGCGTTTCGGCCCGAAATCAGCGTATTTGACTGCTTTGGCGTTTCGCAGAACTCAAACCTCTGTCTTTATCCCGTTTGGCAAATAGAGTTTATCATCGGCGTTTAGGATGAAACCGCCAAAACTAAAAACGCGACAAATCGGAGCGTTTAGGTTTTGGCGGATTGAAACAATTATTAAATTCCATCGATTACCCTCTCATCTTCGTATTCTGTTTTGCTCCCGCTACATGAAGGTCTACGGTTATCAGGGGCGGAACTATTAAGGGGCTTGGAGGTGCCCGAGCCCCTGTAGCTTTTCAGTTTTTTATTATGTATATATATTAATTATTGAAAAATAGTATAGAAAATAAGAAACGAATAGAAGAAATGCAAGAAGGATGGAAACGAACTGGTGTTATCGTGTATGGAAGGAAAAAATATTTAAATAAGGTATGCACTAATAGAATGATGGGATTGACACTTGGCAGTATCCCATCCGATATGAATATTAATATAAATAAATACTCATACCATGCGTTATGATGCATGCTATTTGGAAGCTAATTATGTGTCACATACTCCCTCCCTAACATTTATATCTTCCCACTTTCCTTTTTTGGACGTAACATTTATATCTTTCCATTTCTAAATTTTCTCATCATATCCTCAATAATTTAAAAAATTATACACTACTACACCTACGTTTTTTGGATTTATCCTTCATTCCATCACATTATTTTACCATCTTCCCATCATACCCTCAATAATTCATACCTCATTTCACTATTCTTAATCTCACCCACTTTGGAAGTGGGAAGATATATGTGATACGGAGGGAGTATATTTTTACTCTCTTCTTCCCGTTAATATTGCCTCATTTTACTTTTTTGAGAAATCTCACTAAAGTTATCTCATACTAAATTTAGTAAATTTTGTGTGATTTTAAATCATTTTTACTTTATCAATTAATATCAATCACATAAGCACACTTTTCTTAATAACGGTGTCACACCCTTTTCTTCCCAATATTAGTGTGATGGAGGTAGTAATATATAAAGAGAGAATTCTTCACAAAAATGTGCATTATAATAAATTAGAAAAATTGCATTAGTTTAATCACTTCCTTTTTCCGCCTTGTCATAGACCTCCCCTTTCCTATTATGGCACCTCCAAGAACTCCGAGCTGGTTCCGCCACTGCGTATATATTGATCCTTCATCTATTGGATCTTTGTTTTGACTTTTGATTTATACAAGTATTGGTATTTATAAATACGTAGCTATGTACTACTCCTACTCTGTAGATCGATTTACAAATTTTCAAGTTATTTATCCTTCTGCAGTCTTCATTATTCTAAAAATCATGACCACATATCACACCACTGCACTGTAGCTTCACTTCATATTATCATACTCCGTATGTTTTTATAGAGGATTATCATACCACGTGTATTATTTATTAATTAGTTAATTTTAAAATTAGTATAGTCCTAAGCTCATACGTAGTACGATAGTATTAAACAGAAAGCGCATGCTTAAATTTTATAATGTCCTTTTTGGTCTTTTTATCTGCTAACCGCTACAACTAAACAGCTAATTTACCAAACAACCTTTTGCAACCCGCCAAACTAATCCGCTGGTCAAATCCGCTGATCAAATCCGCTATTTACTACCCGCTAATATAATCCGCCAACCGCTAATCGATAACCGCTGAGTGCCAAACAGGCCCTAAGTTGCCGGAATAGCTATGTGTTAAAAAACGTATGTTTTCTCTTTCATAGTATGCTGCCACGTCATTTAGCCATCCCACTCAATCCAAACAGGCCGTTACGGCCTGTTTGGATTGAGTGTTGGCGTGTGTTAGTAATGGAAGTGTTGAGGAGTGTTTAGTTTAACACCTGTTTGGGAGGAAAATAAAAAAAAATCCAGAAGTGTTAATAAGTGTTTAGGGGTGTTATCAATAACCTTCCTAACACCTATATTTATCATTTTTTTAACACTCCAAATTGGAGTGTCATGAAGGGTTGGACAACTTTTGCCCTTCTTATTTCAAAATCTATTCCTTCCCAACGTCCTCCTTTATTTCTTCCGCAACAAAGAGCCTGACGGTTCTCCTTCACTCCCGCGGCTCCAGCAGACTGTTCTCCTTCTCCACCAGGTTTCTCCTTTTTCATTTTGATGTAGCTCTGAGATAGCGTAATTGCCCTTTTTCGTTTTGGTGTACCTAATGCTTGCCTGAATTTTAAGATAGTGAAACTAGGTATTGTAACTTGTAAGGATTTATATAAATACGCTTGCTCAGTGTTTTTTTTCACTTTGGGATTGGTATTCGTGGGAACTTTTGCTAGTCATAAAGTCATGTTCTCTGGATTTTCCTTTGTGCACTTCTCTGAACCGCTTTTGTGGGGCTTTTATGAACCTATGTCGACTTGGATGTCCAGTTGAAAGCCGGAGCAGTCTTCTTCATGACATGATGGCATGAGCTAGTGAATTGACGTTTTATCATTATATTTTTGAATTTGACATTCAAACAATTTATGCGCTTTGAGACTATTACTTTTGCTTCGTTTGGAACTGTTGTATTGCTATGTGATGATTTGGAACTAATTTTGCTCATATTTTTGGTCCCATATATTTAACATTTTTCGAATGGTCGTAATTTATAATTAAAATTGAGAGTCGTGACTTTGAAAAATATATTATACAAGTTGGGGGTTTAGTTTAATGTGTAGTGTTGATCCACATTTTTTAGCACTTTACGTGGGATATGTACATATATCATATGTAGAATATTTTAATTTTAGCATATTGCATAAAATATATTTTTAGCACTTTCTTTTTTATTTTATTTTTACCATTTGACATGGAAAGTTTTTCAAGTTGAACAACAACTACAATTTGATTTGATTGATTAGAGTTAGAACACTTGCAATTTTTGAGCATTTACGTGGAGAATGTATTATTATATAGACTTATAGCAATATTAACACTTGAGGATATTTTTGTCAATTTATGTGAAAACACTTCCATTACTAACACTTCAATTTTTTAGCTCTCCCAAACAAGGTAAGGTTATGTTTAACACTTACACTTACCTTCCTTTCCGGACCGTTACTGACACTTACTAACACTTCCATTACTAACACCCGCTAACACTCAATCCAAACAGGCCGTAAAACCTTAAAATAAAAGGACAAAATTCAACACTTGTATCCAATCCTCACGCTCAAGCCTCAACTCCCTGGCTCACTGCAAAATATACTCCGCCGAAGAAGAAAACGTGAGATTGGAAATGGAACCCTATCTTTCTAGTAAATAGCTTGCGGAATTTGTTCATGTTATCAGTTGGTTATCAGTTGATTGTACGCTGCCTTTGGAAAGCATTGATTTGATCCAAAATGAATTAGGGTTACCTCATAGTGCAGAAACACTACGATCTCTAAATACCCTGAATTTTTCTTGATAAATGCATTAATGGGAGAGATTGTCTTCACCTGGAGAATTGGGATTCTTCATAGGAAGTCACGGCCAGGGAACAATGTTTGCTGTGTGTGAATGATTTCATTTTTTCTAAAAAGAAAGCCAGAATATCAAAAGAAGGGAGCTTTTGCTTCATTAGTTTTTATTTAACATTGTACGAGTAGTAGTATTATACTTGTCAAATAGACTTGATGTCTCGCTGCAAAATAGAGGATTGAGAATCTGCTCTATTACTTTTTTGCTCTGTATTCATTTCATAGCCTGAGCTACAACTTGCAGCAGAAACAATTGGCCTCAAGGAAGAAGAAGTTGCAGTCCATGATTACATCTCAATCACAATTGGCTATGACAACCTTTTCAAATCTGTCTTGAGTTTGCTGAAAACTATATAGCATTGGCTGCATTGACACGCCAAACGGAACGACACACCTAATTAAAATTCAATGGAGTTCTGCTTCCTATATATACTTTTAGTTCTAAGCTATAAATCACTTCTACAGAATACCAAATGAACTGTGTGGATTACAAAGCAACTTAATTGCTAATTTAACCCCATGTAAGCCACCAAAATATTCTGCTTCTGTATAAAAATTTGCTTATATGCTGGAACAAGATAAGCCCATTGAGCAAAGCACAACTGCCCAAGTATAGTTTTACAATTCTGAAATAGTTATATGCAAGTTTTCATCCACATCTGGTTCCCAAGTTTTCATCCACATCTGGTTCCCAAGTTTAGTTTTAGAGTTTTTATTGCTCTCCATTTAAAGAGTTAACTTAAAGATTAATTAAGAAATTGATCAAACTATTTATAAAAAATCTGATAGAAACAAATTATCATTGCAGAAACTGAACTAATTAGTAAACATGTATTTCAACCCCAAAAAGGGTCACAGTAATGTGATATGCTTCACATATGAAGCTAAGGGTCTGTTTGCAACCCATTAAAAAAAGTACTTTTAACTTTTTTTTAAGAAAAAAACACTTATTTTACTAAATACTACCAACTTTTACTTTCTCGGCTTCCGTGTAGAATCTACTTTTTACTTTTTCTATTACACAAAAAACACTTATTTTACCAAACACTACCAACTTTTACTACTAATCACTTTTTTTTCCCAAAAGTGCTTTTATTTAAGCAGAAGTTGTTGCAAACAAAGCCTAAACCAATACAAAAAGCAGAAAAAAGAGTATCCAAAACTTAAAACCCAAACTAGGGCTCTTGATCTCAATTTAGTCTTCTTTAATTGGGTAAAGTAGCACCCTTTTATTTCTCCTTATCAGCACCAGAAGGTAAAAAACTTGGATCTTTCTGAGATGTATATTTATCCAAATCACAAAGCTTCACATACCCTCTTGGTTTTGACAATAAAACCCCATGTGGAAGTGGACCTTTTCTTCGTTTTTTAAAATCCACATCTCCCTCCTGCAATTAAACAAAACTAACATATAAAAAAAGAAACTCCTAAAGTTTAAGCATTTATATTTGCATCCATTGGTTATACACTTATACCGTAGTCCGTAATACATTTGTATGATCTGCACGCTCAGATTCTGGAGACTGAGAAAAATTAGATATGCAAGATTGAGCTTCTGGATTACTAACTATATGCTTACTATTCATTCTTCTAGGCTGCAATACACACATTCAAAGCACACAATGAAATAATGATACTGCCACATATATACATGAATTAATGTTAGTATCAACTACTTACTTACTTAGGTGGTCTATTTACTTTAGGTGCATTTTGAATCAAACTTCCATGGGCTCTTTTATTATGACCTCTTTCCCCACAGATACTACAAGTGATAATAGTCCCTCTCTTAGAGACTCTATATTTTGCTTTGGCACTCGCTAATTCTTCAGGATCCTTTCTTCTTAATTTTGCTTTTCTTCCCCTTTTAACTTGAGCAACTTTTGGTGGGATTACAGGAGGCTGATCACTTTTAGGCCACATATCCCTTCCATTCATTGGAGTAATGTAGTGAGAATAGATCTTTGTGGGTGTTTCAATGTGATAACACTCACCTACATATTTCTCTGGCAACTCATTGTTGAAGTGAATAGCCACTATCCCATGTACACGTGGGATTGAAGTCAATTGCCACCTTCTGCAGCTGCAAGTGTGCTCAACTATATCTACTACAAATTGACTCCCATACCCAAAAACTGAAACTTCGAATCCCCAGACCACTCTAGTGTAAACATGAAACATGTTTCTTTAGCTTTATCTAGTTGTTTTTGGATTTTGGGACATAAAGTACCATGCACATTCTTCATGGAATCTCTTCTTTGGTGAACTCTTCGCATTAGTTTAGTCCTAATCGCTTCCAACATACTCACAATTCCCATTTCTCTAGCATCTAGAATCATAGCATTGAATGACTCGCTTAGATTATTCAGCAGCATATCACATTCAAGATTACTTGAGAAATGGGATCTTGACCATTCCTGTGGATTCTTTTTGTTAATCCAATCATATGCTTCTTTGGATTTTTCAGCAATCTGTTTCATTACCTTCTGAAATGCACTCACATAACTTGCTTTAGTAGCTTTCCACAACAAGTCCTTCAATTCTTTTCCACGAAACATCTTTTGAAAGTTTCTGATCATGTGTTGAACACAAAATCTATGTTCAGCATATGCAAAATCTATAGTCGCACCAAACAAGGGGTTTTAGTTGCAATACAAGCTGAAGGTTCAGTCTGTACAAGGAATGAAACACCGATAGAGTGAAATTTAACCATCTAACATAACAATCTAATGTCGTATAGAGAATAGACAAGTATCAATTTCTTTGAGGAGAATGTAATATTCATACTTCGTACCTAGTATGTAGTAGAGTTTTTGCCACTTTCCATCCCCGACTATTTTCCCACAAGCTAAATATTCATGCATATGCAAAATAAGACAAAAACTCTTCAACCCCAATAATACTTTCTTCATTGAGTAGACAGTATAATTAAATTTATAACTCTCAATTTTTCAATAAAGATACTTGAAATGTCTAGACATTTTAAAGTAGTTCCATCACAAATATATTTTATCAAGTACTCTTAGCTTGGATGGTTTGAGGCCACATGCACAGAAGATGAGTAGTGAGTGTAAAATGTGATTTCAATTTGGACTTTAATGGTTTTCTTGATTAAAATTGATCCCTTTAAAAGTTTACCTACTTTGGTCGGGTTTTCATTGGTGAGAAAAACAATAAGTGTATATTGTAGATGAGTTTTCTTTTATAACAAGAGCATTTGACGCATGACTGCCAAAAGTTTCTGAACTTCAAAATATCATCTTGATGCCAAAAATGCCATTTTATCCACAACATAAAAATTACTCCACCGTGAACAAAAATGGAACACAACATTGGCAGTTTTATTCACAATATGTGGCATTTTTTTTGGAATAAACGCCATGGTGAGTTCAAAATCAGATTTCCCAAAATTTGAAAAATCAAAATCCTCCAAATCCGAAATTTCACTAATTTGGGGGGAAGAAATCAGATTTCAAACGGAGGGGGGGGGGGGGTGGAGGAGGGGGGGAGGATGGTGATGAACTTGAAATTTGTGCAAAAACCGAAAGCCATGTCATAGATGATGGAGTCGATGACGGTAAGAGCGGTAGTGACGAAGTCAACATGGGGGGCGGCAAGACCATTGTCACACCTAGAGAAACGCAGGGAAAGAGGCGGTGGGAGAGAAGCGCATCACTGAGAAAGAGCCATGTCAACCCGGCCCAACTAAAAAAGACAACCCAATAATTGATATTATCTTCGTTCAAAATTGATTCGCAAATTTGACTTTTTTTTTCAAATAGTTTTATTTTGTTCGCTTATTTAGGATGTCAATTTTTAATTATTAAAAATTGAGTTAATTATTCGTAAAAAGGATTGACTTTTATTATTGGTTGACCAAAAAATGTTGACTTTGCAAAACAAATTGGGACGGAGGGAGTACAAGCCAAAAACAAATTGGTGGCATTTTTGTAATTTAAGCGAAAAATCACGACTTCGATTAAATGAGAAATAGTTTACTTTTAATGAGCATCTGACGGTCTGACCTATTTTATTGAGTATTAGGATGCTAACAATGAGTATCATGATCTCTGTCTCATACCTTCTGATTCTAATTCTTTTTCCTATTTTTTCTTTTATAAAAACTTGTTAAACTATATCTATAATTAACTCTTATTAATTTCAATATGCGAGTCTAATGTAATGTGATACATTTGAAATATGCATTTCTAATGCAATGTGATACATTTGAAATATGCATTGATATGACATTGTAAAAATGAGCATAAAATCAGTACCAAATGAGCATACATAACTTACAAAAAGTGCGCATTGATATGAAAATTGTAAGATTTGTTAGTTGAACATCACAACATTTTAATTGAGCATCAAACATCCACTATTGAGATGAAAATCACGATTTCTTGTGAATGAGCATTAATGAACTTTTAATGAGCATCACACCTATTACGTTGAGTATTACAAGTCTAATATTGAGCATCTCAGTATCTGTTTCATAACTTCTAATTAACTTTCTTTTTGTTATTTTTTCTTTTATAAAAACTTAATAAATTAAATATATGATCAACTCCTATGAATTTCAATATGCAAATATAATGTAATATAATACTTTTAAAATGAGTATAGTATCAGTACCAAATGAGCATACACAACTTATAAAATGAGCATTGATATGAAAATTGTAAGTTTTGATAATTGAGCATTGAGACACTTTTCAGTTTTCAGTGAGCATCAAACCTCCGCTGTTGAGTGTTAGAAGCATCCAATTGAGTATCATGATTTGTACTCTCGTGTCTATAATTAACTCCTCTGTGAATATATGTATTGATAGAGAGCTCTTCTCATCAGGCCGTCCTGACGGGCTGCCCCGTCCGGCCGAGCCCGTTTGGGCACCTTCCCGGTGGAATTTTTTGATGAAATTTTTTGAGCATGTTTCTCATCAAGTCTAGTTTGTCCACACCAAATTTCAGCTCAAAATTCGATCGGGAAGGTCGTCAAATGATTTTTGCAAGTTAACTGGTCCGGAAAATACATATTCCGGACCAGTTAACTTGCAAAAATCATTTGACGACCTTCCCGATCGAATTTTGAGCTGAAATTTGGTATGGACAAACTAGACTTGATGAGGAACATGCTCAAAAAATTTTATCAACAAATTCCACCAGGACAGTGCCCAAACGGGCTCGGCCGGACGGGGCAGCCCGTCAGGCCGGCCTGATGAGATGATTTCTCTGTATTGATATAACATTTTTAAATGAGCATAACGATAGTATCAAATGAGCAAATATTACTTATCAAATGAGCAATGATATGAAAATCATAAGCTTTATTAGTTGAGGATCAAGACATTTTTATTGTACATCAAACCTTCTTCATTGAGTATCATAAGCATGCAAGTGAATATCATGATCTATAAATGCTACCATGTATATAATCTAACTCTCATGCGAATTTAATATGATACTTTTGAAATATGCATTAATATGACATTTTAAAATGAGTATAAAACTAGTATCAGATATACATACATGACTTACAAATGAGCATAAAAAATAAAGGAGAACAAACAATAAACAACAAAAAAAAGAGCAAACAATAAAAAACAAATGAGAACATACAATAGGAACAATAAGCGCAAGACACAAGAGGGTTGGGCCAAATGGGAGACTTTAATTATGTTGGTAGCCCAAATGAGAGGGTTGAGCCTACCCCTCCCTCGGCTTATCTTACCCAACACCTTAATGATTTTAAATTGCTTGCTAATGTTGTTGATAGTCCTTCCACGGATGAGTTCCTTAATTGGAATAGAGGATCCCTTTGGGCTAATCTTGATAGAGTTCTCATTAATTCCTTGTGGTCCACTTTGGGTATTGAGTCCAAAACTCATTTTCATGATATGGAAGTTGACTTTGATCATGTAGCTTCTTTAGTTACTTTTGGTTAAAACAATATTGTTGGTTTAGGCCTTTTAAATTTTACAATATGTGTCTTAAACATGAGAATTTTAATACCATTCTCACTAATCATTGGTGTGGAGAGGTAGATGGAAATTCCCAATTCATTCTTGCCAAAAAGTTGAAAGCACTTAAGAGGCCTCTCATTCTTGCATATGCGGATGATTTGATGTTGTTCTCTAGAGGGGATACCCCCTCTATTAAGATTCTTATTGAATCTTTGGAAGAATTTGGGAACATATTTGGCCTTAGGGTCAACTATGACAAATCCAACGTACATCTTCGTAGGGGTAAGGCTCATCATGAGCTTGAGACTATTCTGGACCTATTGGACTTTAGAATTGGAGCATTCCTTGTCAAATATCTTGGAGTTCCCTTAGCTCCCTTAAAGATATTTGTGGCACAATATGCTCCACTTATAGAATCCATCACCACTTTTATTAATGCTTGGAACCTAAAGACTCTTTCCTATGCAGGTAGAATTGAACTCATTAAATCGATCTGTTATACAGGGTGTGCACTCTTTTTGGGTACAAATGTTTATTTCCTATTCCAAATGCTATTCTTGATAGAATCACTTCCATTTGTCGTATCTTTCTTTGGGGATGCAAATCTTCTAGGGTCTCCTGGGCGGATATTTGTCTCCCCAACGATGAAGGTGGACTTGGTATACATGACACAAAGTTTTGGAACTCGTCTTTACTTGCTAAAACTTTTTGGCGTATACCAAAAAGGACACTCTTGGGTCAAGTGGGTCCATGATGTGTATCTTCATGGTAGGAATGTGTGGGAGTTTATCCCACACCATAGAGACTCACAATTGATGAAGAAAATAGCTTTGGTCCGAGGCCAAATCCTTTCCAAATTTTGTGATATTCCAAGTGCTATACTTTTCCTAAATGGGTTTCAATCTAATGGGAAACTTATTTCCTCAAAAGTTTACAACTTGCTTAGAACTAGAGCACCTACCCGTAGGTGGATGTCTTTTATATGGAAAGATTATATCCCTCCCAAGTTTTCCCTTACTACTTGGTTGGCATTCCGAAATAGGATGGCTAATATGATAATCTCCATAGATTAGATGTAGTTAACACTTGTATATTGTGCAAGGGTGGACCGGAAACGGTTTCACACCTATACATTGAATGCCCTTTTTCACGAAAAGTTTGGAAGATGGTGAAAGAATGGATGGGCATGCCACGGCTTATGGGGACACTTGCTAGCTCGGTCAAGTGGATCAAGAAAGAAAGAAGTGGAGCAAATGTACAAGCCAAGGCCTCTCGGATTGTTCTATATGCTATTCTGTCTATTGGATTTGGAGAGTTAGGAGTGCTGCTAGATTTGATGGGGTAACTCGAAAGGAAGATGAAGCTTTTGCAAGGATAAAGGACATTGTCTACAAAGTTTTATATAGCTAATATCCACATAATTTGGTTGTATTTTGATAACTTCCAGCCCATCACCTATTTTTGCTTGTCATTAGCCCTGATGTAGGTTAGGGTGCTATGCTGGCATCTTTGTTTTATTTGCAAGTGATGGGTTATCCAATTTTTGGATAGCCTACAGTTTTGCTCACCTTTTTGTTGTACAGTTAAACTCTTTGGATGTTTCCTTTTATATATATTTACAGTTCATCCAAAAAAAATAAGCGCAAGACACGAAGTCTATGAAGAAGCACAAGAGATAGCCTGAACATCATGAGGTCGAGCCATGGTCAGTTCCCGAGCCAGAAATAGTAAGAGAAAATAAAGAGAAGAAAATGAAGAAGAAAAACAAGCGCACATCTGATGGAGAGGTCGAAAATCAGGATCAGGAAAACAGAGCTTAACGAAAGAAATGAAAGTCTAGGATGGACAAGAATGAACAGAGCTTTCGAACAATGGGACGTTTGAACAATGGGAGGAGTCTGCATGCAGCGAAAAGGCGGAAAATGGAACATACGTAGGCTGAGGAGAACCGTAGAACTCCAAATTGATGCCCTCAATGTTTGAAACAATTCAATTACAAAAAACCGGATGTATAGGTAGTAGCCTAGTAGGTACACCTGGGTGTACCTTATAATTTTCCGAGAAAGAGACGCTAGGAGAGAGGTTCAACGCAAGGAAAGAAACCATCCATATAATTTTAGTGTTTTGGAAATTATTATATAGGCCAGTATAATTGTAATCTGAAATCCTATTTAGGGAATGAAAAAGATGTGGTCCTATTTCTTCATTTAAGTTTACTTGTAGTCATATATAGGACAATTACTATATTATAAAATCTATAAACTTTTTATGAGCCTGTTTGGTAGCACGAAAATCGGTTGATTTGGCTTATTTTGCTGAAATTTATGAACTTCAGCCAATACAGCCAGAAAAGTAACTCCAACCTTACTTTTTCTGCTTATTACACAATTCAGCGCGCGAAAGCAAAATTTACGTGTTTGGTGAAAAAGTTGGATGGTAAGCCTGATAAGCCGAAAAATAATGTTGCCAAATAGCCTCTAAATATAAATTATGTTGATTTGCATAAATCTATGGATTTCATCATAAGAATGCTATTTATCAATTTTATAGAAAACACAAATTTTAAGAACTATATTAACATTCATAATTCTAAACATCATAAGAGGTCAAGTACGTGATTATCTAAATAATACTCCCTCCGGTTCTGATTCTTGTTTACACTTTCCTTTTTTGTCAGTACCAGAATCATCTTTACACTTCTTCTTTTACCAATGACATCCCATAAATATCCCTCC